GACGGCGCCGTAATAAGCGTTTTTGGGAGTAACCCCGACGGCGGCGTGGGCGTGGGCGGCGTGGGCGGACTTTTTAAGATTTATAATAGTAGATGCTAATGTTTTGGGTAATTTTGAGACTTCATTTTCCCTTAGGGAGCCATTTGCGGTTACTAAGAGCAGAATACCAATCTTGCTTTAGTGTTTTATGATGGTTATGATATGTTTAAAGTGCAGTGCGTACCTGTTTACAAAATAAAGCACATTTACCCTGCTACAAAAAGTCCTACAAAGGTGAATTGGTGACTAAAGCGAATCACTCACCAGAATTACATTAGCTTGGATACAATATCGGTAATTTGATTAAGGTTGATTTTCTTATTCATGATAATGATGTTGCGCACTGGATCGCACTCGGTAAGCTGTCACTGGCAATCGCTGGACAATGCAGTGGTAACGAGCGGCGAACAATACCTCACTCTCGCCACCATTTATCGACCCAAAGGCATATGTCCTGATGCAACAGTGGGCGCATAGGCCACTGATTGCTGCCAGTGCATTGGAATTATAGGGTTTTAGAGCTCGCTGACTGCAGCGCTAAGGCAAGACATGTGCCTTTATAAAAGGAGAACCAAACAAAACAAGCATGAAAATCATCTCAGTACATATGTAAGCAGTATGCAAACATGCCTCTTGAGATAACTATCCGCCGACTCTCCGCGTGCCACAAGGAGGCACCGCTAATGGGACAGCGGTCCTCCGCCGTTAGCACTTCTCTGTGTGTATATCCAGCGGGACGGAGGAGCCGCGGGATGGACAAACAATCCGCCGGCCCGCGGCAGATGCAGCGCGGCTCTTATGGCCGCTCATGCGGCGAATATGACACCCGGAACGTGTGTCAGATGGCGTGTAGCAGCGTCCGCCCGGGCGCGGCGGATCGCTGCGATTGGTGAACAAACGTTCGCGCAGCTGATTGCAATATTCGATATAGGTTAGGCCATTTGCATTCGAGACAGTGCAAGTATCCAGATGCATGAGGCACCAAACCAATGCAGTTGATTCCGACTGATAATTATATTTGAAATGTTATGCATGAACAATAGGCAAACCGAAACCGGTACACCGGTGCAAACGTTGTCCAAGTGAATTTGCTTTGTGATTGCTCTACTTGGTATTGTGTAAGCTGTGTTGGGAACATAAAAACAACACTTCGCACGATTTGATTTGCCTGATTTGAAACGGGTCTTCATATAGCTAGATCTGTTATTTTTGTCGACATATTAGTCGGACAAAATTGATAATTATCATTCACTTTTTGCAAACTTAAATTTCAATTTTCATGCAAATAGGTATCATGCATTTCCAATTTCCACCAAGAACTAGAGGCACGCAGGGCATTGGGCTTTCTTAAAGCGTGGATATCAATTCGCTGGAAGGCTCTTCAACTGGCAAAGGGCGTAGCACTCAAAATACTGAGCTCCGTCTCATAGCTGAAGTACATATAGCGACATCTTGCACTGTATGAAATGAATAACGCTGGAGCTACTCGGCTGCTCATGACTAAAGTTTTGATCAAGTAGTCCAAACGTAACGTTCGCCAGTTTCCTTTCCAGCCGATAATTTCATAACACTCAAGCGTATGGCCCTGTCCGCCATGGTACAACATCTACGATCGACTAAGGCAACAATGACAACGGAATAGACTCGCAACTTGGGTGATTGACGATGTGATTAACGTAGAATTTCCGTCAAGCGGGCGTTCATCATATCGCAAATGGCGTTGAAGTTCATCTCGCTCAAGGACCTTTATGGCTCAGGAGCGTGCTGATGCCGATATTCGAGTTACCAGACTGCCGGTCGCTTGGAAGCACCAGCGTCGGCTTATACGATGGGCTACACGGCTGTACTCGACCCACAAACGCCTTGTCTCATGGGTCCTTGGCGCACTTAAGTTGCCAACTGGTGTTGCCAGGCAAAGTTTCTAATGTCAAGAAGAAAAGACATTTCTCTTCCGGCTGTTTTTCACGGCTAACACCCATTACGACGGAATAAATCAGCATGGTAAGCTAGTTTTTACATTAAATATGCAGCTATGGCATGTATAAAATGTCAATGTGTACAGCGCGCATGTTGTTTTTCTATTTAAAGTGTGGTTTTCCACTGATAATTACCTACTTGTAGGTACATTATCTGTAGGTAATTTCGTATGTTGCATCTAACTAGTTTACACTGTATACACTATGTATACAGTCCATGCCATCTGAGATTAAACGTAGTGTGCTATAAGCAAGCATCGAACATCTAAACGTATCGATCACCGCGACGTCATCACTGTAAAATACCCGGTACGGTATAATGACGAGAACGTGGCCGAAATAAAGAAAGATAAATCGAATCCAGTCATCGGACGTGCTTCATTACGTTCGGTTTAACCAAATGTTATTACCGGCCATTCCGTGTTCTGATTCAGGACTACGGCTTTTGATCGAAGGCGAGGGAGTTATTATTATGGAAACAAGAATGTGTGCGCTATTTGGGTTGAGTATATACCTAAGCATTTCCATGCCAAAAAGGTGTGCACTGGGCCAATGTCGGTATAATGTGTGCAACGTTCGAAACCCGATGCTAAGTCCACTTTCACGTATATGTACCTACTGTGGTAGCATGACCAAGAGCGTCTAATAATGTATCATATACATACTCGGACATACGACATATTTGGTAAGATGTTTCTTTATATCCCGGGCAGTGTTGATTTTAAATTACAAACAGGCTGGTGAGTACCCGTTAACTTCAAAATAATCGTGTGCAAAGTTCATAGGGGTATATGATGTTGCAATTAAATACGATAAGTGTCGGAGCATCATTGGCTAATTGCAACATATGTTTTTAATCGACAAAAGCAGGTTGATTCTACTCAAAGGCATGCAAATATCAAAGCCCTGCTCGTAGTCTGAACTTCAAAAAGGTAGCGCTCGTTAATCCCCAATCATTTAAAGTGCATAAGAGTTAATGCCGATTGGTACATTTTTTTCAATGCACTACCAGAGTAACAAATACAAATGGGCGTAAGGCGAATGGACGAGGCAATGGCATGAAGTTCAAAATGTTATGAGTGGGTTCATAGGCATGACAAAAGTGACAAGAAGAGTCATGCTGGCGTGCTTGGCATTGATCGTGCAGTGAACACCGTTAAATAGTGCGGAAAGCTCGGCACGGGCTGCTGTAACAGACATCAAAAACGTTGGCGATAGGATCTAACGCTGTAACGCTTCTTACACGAGTTGCATTGTACTTAATTTAAGGGGTAACTATCAAATTCAGTATTAATCATGAAAGGAGACGGTAAGAGTACCTACGGCTTTGGACTTATGAACAGTGCCGATCATGAAGAAGCACAGTGAGGATTGCGCAGTGCCCACCGTGCATATGAGCGTTCATGTCGTATATTGTTATTGCCGTACCTACTTCCTCAAGAATGCCTTGGATAAGTGTCATTTTGAAACCGCTTCTGGGTCAACGGCCTTAACGGCCGGGATCACAGCAGTTGTGGCCGGCTGACGGCAAGATCAGAAACGGCAGTCGGGAAAAGGTCTTATCCTGTTTGGGTGCATTATCCCCGCCGCATAACGGCGTATAATGTATGTACGTGTATATTGAGTTGCAGATTTCATTCTGTCATAGTTGATTATAAGTTTCAAGCACAATTTATTTTCGTACCTATCGTCGTGCAATGGGATTTGAAAATGAACAGAGGTATGGGGCATGATGATATTCAGCTATGGGTGGTTCTAATAACGAGGGCCATTGACAGCTTCCGCTGTCCCGTATTCAGCGGTCGGGGTGGCTATATCGCAGGAGGGAGTGAGGGATAGATAGGTCATGTTCCACCTTTCAGACCATGCACGATCCGTTTCCAGCCTGCCTTTTCTCTGGTCAGGGCTTAGGAATGGACTTAAGCATGTTGTGTCAATGTGTAAGTTTGCTAGAATGTATAAATTGGACGTTGATCTTTATTGGCATAAATGAGCTACTGTGTATAATTTACCATCGACTTTTTCAGTGTTATTCAGTAAGCCAGCAAATGTCCGCGACTTTCGCTTTCCACGCTAAACGGACCTCTTATGGGAGCGTTCACGCAATTTAATTTATTCAAGTGACCCAATATCCCTCAATGCGGAAAGAACTGGTGGAGTCATTGCCCCATCCAAAAATGCAACACTGGATGCTCTGTGGCATGTAGCCCCAAAAAACATCCAAAATTCCAAAGGCTCTTCAAAATTTCCCTTTGTCATGAGATACCATGTAATTCAAGGGAGCTGCTTTCTAAAAATATATCCCTTTTTATATGCAACGAGCGCGGTTAATTCAAAGTTTATGACGATTCATGGGTGACAATGCCAACAGAGCTCCCCCTTAGACCCACCAGTGGGTGCAAAAGCTTTCACTTTCGCTGCTCCACTGCTATTTACAGATAAATGTACTTACACCGGATTCTAATGCCCAGAGACTCCATATCCCCATATCCACCGCGCATTATTCCAAGGCGCGGGCCGCGATGTCGTGCGGTACAGTCTGCCTTCAGGCGCCCACTACTGCTGCCATCTATGACCGTCAACACGAACGGCTTAGCCGGCCGCAGGCGTGACCACCCGCTAATGCTAGTCCTAGTGCTAAGTTTTAATTAGGTGAAATAAGTGAGGGACAATAAACCTCAGTGTTAAAAATTGAATACGCATTGGTTAATGCTGTTCCAGTGCCTGATAACTTCAAGTTCTTGAAAAGATATGCCTATGCAGTGTCCCAGTGCATTACCTATTTAATGCGGCTTTCAGATCAGTTCAGCAACCCCGTCGACTGCTACTTGCCAGACACGGAGCCAAAGACTTTCAGAAACAGTTACTGAACAGGTGACTAAAATTATCAATCCAGCCCCCTCGCTTAAGTAGATCTATCTCACTTCCCCATCCGTTCTCCCAAACCTGTCCTGGTCCTTGCCCGATTCCTGTTCGGCGGCTCACCTGTGCGGTTCTCCCAGCTCTGCCCCGGTGCGGCGGCTCACCTGCGGGTCTGCTCCGGCCTCCGGTCGGCTGCTGGTGGTCTGCCGGGCCGCGCCGAGCTGTCGCTCGGCTCCAAGACCGCTGGCTGGCCGCTCGGTGGACGCTGGCTCGGTCGGCGCCCGGTGCGCGGGCTCTCGCGGAAGCGGGTCGCGTCTGCTCTGTCGCGCGCTGCCACCGCTGCTAGGCTGCCCGCCGGCGGCTATATAGCCTGGGGCGGTGACGTGGGTGCGCGGGGCCGGGCCGGCGCACCGGCGGCCACCCACACCGCGACACGAGACGGCCCACGTCCCAGGCACCCACGCGCCGCACGCGCCCCTTCGCGGACATGAGCCCGTACTGATGTAGTCTAAACGGGGACCGCAGATTTGGACATCCCTGACAGCTAAGTCGCATGAACATTTTATTGTTCCGTTATAGTTCTCAACGTCCAAACCATGCGCACGCTCAAGTCAAAAGCAGACGCGTGATTAGCTGAAATGAGAGTGCGTTGGTTTGCATTGTTACGATTTTGTAGCCAATACGTTATCTGACAACCGGAACACGATCGAAAAATTGTTTTTGTTAAAGGGACCCTCCCCTCCCAACATAGGCGGCGGAACGGGGAGGGCACCGGGGCACCGTGCCCCCTTTGATTTTGACATTTTAACATTAGCCCTATGGGCGTTGCATGGAAAGAATGGGACCAAAAGTCGGCAGTGCCCCCCCCCCCCCTTAATTGAAGGTGTTCCGCCGCTACTGTCTCCCAACTTAAAAAAAGTTAATAAATTGGCATGAAGGCGATGTCCCGTGATTCAGAAAGATCAAAAAAGAATATCTACCAAATTTCACCGAAAAAAATCACTGGTTTTCAAGATACTAGTATTATGTAGACTTTTGATTATTAGTAACCCTTAACCATGGGTACCAGAAAAAAACAACGCTGCTCAGATCCGGTTCAAGTGTGAGATTGTTCGTTCATAAAAACATGAGCGATGAGAATGCAATTTAAACTATCGCCGTTGACCGCACCGGCTAGCCTTCTTTGATTGCCCGTTTGACCGTCAGACCGATGAATCTGGCCATTGTCTGGTTACTCCACCATGAATAGATCTAGCCATATGTCGATGCCGCATAGTTCAATGTCTGTCAGTGAAGCACGTGGGGCGGCCAAACAGTGTCCCTGCACCAATCAGAGGTCCCCCGGCCGTCCAACGCCCCCGCCCGCGGCTTCCGACGACAGTCACAACGCCTCAATCTTTGTCGGTATCTGATTGTGAGACAATGGCTGAGTCTGCTGCAATAGCCCGATAAAATAACCGGCGCCGAAAACCGGCGCAGTTTCCACTCCATTTTGCTGTATCGGAACTGAATGAATGACGAGTCGCCGAGCGGGCTGCAACTGAAACGGACGCTGACTTTGCAGTTTGCTCAATATTCGGGTTCCTGTTAGATGAATATTCGTTATAGCGAAGGGAATTTAAATGCAATGTCCAAAATTAGCCATGATTTCACATAACTGCTGCAACATTCCTCAACTTTTCATTTTTTAGATGCATTTATTGGTTGATGCTGCATCCGTAAATGATGTTTGATTCTACAGCGATATTGTAAATGCTTCTTAATTCCCACATTTCCCGTGCTATATGAAATTGCTTTTCCTTACCATATAGGCATGAACTTCGGATGCCAAATGCAATCCTGCCTCTTCTACGCGAGATTGAAACGCGAAAATCTATTTGAAACTCAAAACCAACTCACAATACTCTTCATGTTTCACAGGAATATGTTCCTGCCCAATATGTATGCAATGTACCGTTTCTCCAAAGAATCGCGGCTAGGCGGCTATTTGAAGCCATTCAACATCTTATTGGTATTCGGCTTTTGGCTGCACATCCAAATCTAGCATAACCGGACCTCATACCTAGGGGTCTATATTGTGCGCTCACTTCATTGAATACCCTATAGAATGGGATGTCTTTGGACGTGTTTATCGGTAAAGTGACTGCGTCCTACGCTACGCGTCGGAGGGCGATAGCGACCGATGTAATACGGACATCGAAGCCGGGTACTCTGTCAGTGTCACGAGTACTAAATAAGAGACGCCGGGCCACACGATAGGTATGACTGCAGTGTGGCCTGTCCCGCCTACATTGTGCGTTGAAACTTCAAGGTACGAATATTAACGCACAGTACTTTGCAATGTTATCCAGACAGCAATGCATTGTTTCACCAGAGGTTGAGGCTTATGCTTAAAAGGTACTAAACGCTAATTATTTTATATTGGACGCATCCGCGCTTTTTCATGCTCTGGAGCTGGACTCTCCAGTCTCCACTATATCCAATCCCGCCCAATTGATCGCACATTCCGCTCTCGACGGTTTGGTGGTCACCAGCGACTAGTGAAAGTAGCTCTAGCAGGAGCAGGCTCTCCGCGGGGGACTGTTGGCGCGGCTCGGTGGCTTGTCTCTCAGCCTCAGGACGGTCTGAGCGGCTGGCGCATTAGCCTGGTGGCCACCACATCCAGAGCGACCAAAGCGATGGTTGAAAACATATAACACTTTGTCGATCCTACAACATGACAGCAGTATGTTTTGATGAACGACTTGGCTCCTTGAGAGAATCCTGGACCAGCCAATATATCTTTTCTTTGAGCCATTGCCCAGTCAGTCCATAAATAGTGCTTTGCGGTGTCGTGGTTTATTGCCGCAGTCGAGCTGTTGTCTTTTCTCTCTGTCCCTTGATTTATACGGTAAGGTGTTGTGGCCGCTCAGTGCGACTTCAAGAATCCACCAAGCATAGCTTTTTTATGCTGTTTTATGCAATACCTTTGTACCTATTTAAGCATTGAAATCATGAATGCTGAGACATACCAACTTGTAAAGGTACCCGAATTATCGTACGTATTTTAAAATTCATATTTCACTCATTTATAGACGTTTGCACTTGGTGGGTTGTTTTGTGTTAGTTGCCACAGAACCACTGAAGAATAACTAACACAATTAATGGAAGCTGCACCCAACGGTTGCCTGTAAAGGAACACCGCACAATATAAAAACGTCGCAGCAAGTTTTGAGGAGCGGCCGGCCATTTGGGCATGTGTCCTCTGCATCGTTCAAAATGTATGACAAGTGGGCGTTTTTCAACTTTTTAAACGACGGGATGCCAAGACTGGCAGATAACCGTCATGTCAAGGCCATATAGTCATGTTACAGGGTATACCGTCTTCGAACAACAGCGGCGACACTGTCCAGTGTCCAGCAGATAGATGACCGAATTAATCACTGAGTCGCGTGCGGGGGAGTTAAACAGACAGCTCTGTATCACGAAACAATGCTGGCCCAATCAGTTCAGATTTGCCGTTGGTGTTTGAAAAAAAGAACATGACTAGGTTATCGGGAAAAGCCAAATTGGAGCATTAAGGTCGTGCTGATGGTTGGCGCGGGTTCTTGGTTGATCACTTATCAGCGTGATTCGCATGTCTCCGTAAGATCATGGAAAGATCGTAGGGGAAAGTGGGGTAAGACGGTCAGGGTAGGTAAGACGGGCACCCTTTCTGCAGACCAAACCAATAGCGCTACGAGCGAGAAAAATTGGGACCAGAATTGCCTTTCCCACTACACACCACCATTGAAGTCTGGTGAGTTTGTGTTCAGTCGATAATCTATTATTTTGATTTCTTTAAAACACTCATTTCATTGAAAACATCCATAATGTATTGTGCAAGCTTTTGTGTGCAGCATTATAGAGTTACAAACTCGCAATCACTTGTGATACACTCATATACCACCAGTGCTCATTTACCGCGGATTTGCTTTGTCTGCATCAAATTGTCCACAGAGAAAAATCGTGCTGAACTTCTGACATTGAGTTTGGGGTAAGACGGGAAACTACAGGGTGTTCCATAATGAATGTGCATTTTAAATAGGCTCAAAATCTGAGTAATTGTATGTATAACACATAGAGCGATATACCATTGTATTGGCGAAAGAATGGCTTTTTCTGTCGTAATGGCTTCAGACACTTGCATGCTTTCAGTTTTCGGCACTGGCGCCGTTTCTGCGGAGGCAAATTTCGGCCCTCCTGCAGACATGCCGAACGCCTGCCTAACGTCCTCTGGCTTCAGCCCGCGAGCAAATGCATCCACAGTGTTTTGCAGTTCCAGAAGTGTAGTGGGAGGGTTGCGCCGTAATTCCGTAATGGTACGTTATGCTTTTCCTTAACCCGGCAGGCGGTGGGCCTACCAGCCACCTTCCACGCGGTGGGGGGGGGGGGGGGCACTTTTTTGCCCCCCCCCCGTATCTCCGAAACTACTGGACGGATCCGAAAAATTCAAACGGCGTTCGATAGCCCTGTCAAATTTGTCGAAGGAAACCAAATTTCATTGACCTCGGGGTCACCGATGACGTCACAGGTCAGGTCAAAGATAAAATGTTTCACCGTTCACAGGGCTTCTAGGGAAAGCGCTATAACACCGAGTAAAACGCATTTTGTCGAAAATCAGCGATAAGGCGTCAGTTGTCTAGTACATATGTTGCTATTAGAGGTCACTGGTCATACCAGGTCAGGTCACAGGTCAGGTCACCAAAGGTCACCAAGGGTCACCACATGAGCCCAACTTTACTAAGGTTATGTGATGCATGTTTTATGGCCAGTTTTTCATTTCCAACTCAATGGTGTTGGTTATAAGAGCATCAGGTACGGTTTAGGTCACTTTCTGGTGGAGGTCAGGTCAAGGTCAGGTCAAAAAAGGTCAAATTTCAAAGTTGATATTTTTGCACAAAATGGGTATCGATTCGATGCAACTCGTCACGGGGAGTCTAATGGTGGTCTTTGTTTTGCGCTACGAGGTCTAGAATTGCTAAAAATTGAGTTTGAAAATTTGACGTCATCAATTTTGAACAGTTTTTTCGCTATAACTTGGCCAAAAAACGAGGTATCGATCTCAAATTTGGTATGTAGATAGAAGGCGGTAGGGACTATCACATATGTTCCGGTTTTTTCGAAATTCAAAAAACTTTTTGGATTTTTTGGCTATTATATTCAAAAAATCTATTTTTTGATTTTTGGGGGTCAAAATCCAAAAAATTCGAAAAACCGAAATAGCAGTTTTGTAGCCCTTTTGATTCCACACCTTTTATGTCTAAAACATTTTTCTGTATCTCTAAAGCTGTAGGCCTGACAGCTCTTCCCGCGAAACCTTTTTTTGGGTCGAAAATGGCAAAAATGACGTCACTCTTACGTCATTAGCGGCCAACCTATCATAGCCTTTGGAAAAATTTTTGGTCACCATGTGCGCTAGCTGCTCCCGGGAGGGTACTGAAAGTTTGGTGACGATCGGCGCAGCGGTTCTCGAGATATATCGAAAAAAGTAAAGGGGGGGCAAAAAATTGCCCCCCCCCCCACCGCCTGGAAGGTTAAAATGGTACCCATACCTACGGCGGACCGCAGTTACGTTTCTCAGCCTACCATATTCTGCGACTGCCCAAACTGCCTCTTCTTGTGTGAACGGCGCAGTGCATCGTATCTGTGCTGCTGACATCGCGGCAGATGGCGGCCATGTGACTGAATGCTTTGGGATAATTTTTGCACAGATAAAAAGGCCAATCTTTTTGGAACAATGCTCATATAAAATTATCGATCATTGTTTTATTTAAGATCCTCCAATGGTACATTTAAAATGAACACTCATTATGAAACACCCTGTATGAATCCAATGGGTTTGTAATGGTGAAAATATTTTTGCTGCTGTGGGAAAAAAAGCATTTCTTATATGAATATGTTCGATTCCGATACTATCAGACATGTTAGCAATATTCCTTCGGCACAGTATATTCTCGAATAATGAATGTGAAAAACGATTCTACATGGCTTCTGAACTAGGGCCTACCTATATACGAGCATACGCCTTCTGCACGAAACTCGTATACTGCCATTTCCGAAGCACTTGAGACCAACGAGCGACCTATAGCCTTGCGAGCGACTGTATCAATGCGGCTAATCTCGGGCATTTGTTGCGAGCTGTGCTGGTCGGTGAAAGAAGCTGGCCGTCTTGCCCTACCCAAGTGACCGTCTTACCCCATGGGGTGGGGTAAGACGGGTTTTTGCAAGGTTTTGCAAAAATAGTTTATTTGTTGAATCAGATCTAAGTCTCATCTTCTGGCAAATGGAAATAAAATGTCTAAAAAAGGTTTTAACTCAGTTTCCCGTTTCTATGATGTTTCTAACCGGCCGAAAAATGGCTCCAAAGTTAAGGTGCCCGTCTTACCCCACTTTCCCCTACGAACCTAGTGCACGAAAATCGTATAGGTTCGCAATCAGGTATTGCAACGAGGCGTTTACTTCAGGTAATTCGTATTTTATGCTGAAATAATTTTTCTCACATTCTTTTCCTTTTCATTGCAGTTTATTTATTCATCTACCCCTCACTTTTCATCTAGGGTCTGCAAACAACACGTGTTCCAGTCAGTTGAAGGCTTTATGAATTTCTCTCATTTTCACAAATGCCGGCTTACGTCAAATGTCCCGACGCGCCACCCAACACAAAGCTGGTAATTGTGAGCGGCTCTTCTTCAGTGCGACTAACTCTAAACGCCACGAATAAACCGCCAAACGAGCTCGCAAAGACGGCCTTCCTTCTGTCGCTTCTCACCGTCGCGGATGCTTTATCGTCCCGGGGGATTTGGCCGCGACCCGCGCGCCGCACGCCAGCCCATTGCCGTCCGCTGGAATGGCTGAGCAGAGCCGACGAATCCCCCCGAGTTTTGTCGAGGATCTTATCTGCCGGCTCGAGAGGCGGCCGGGGCGCCGAGCCGGCCGGTGCGGTGTGCCGAAATGCCCCGAGGACGTCCGGTGGTGCTGTCGGAACGGGTCACGCCGCGCAGAATAACGAGATCCCGGTCGGCGGGACGCAGCGCGCGGCCACGCCGATAACGGGATCGCGGTCTGTCGGATGGAGACGGGGGTCTCCCCTGCGCAGATACGCGTGTGTGATGGATGGCGAGCCGGAATGTGTTTGAAATCCGTTTTTAGGAGCGTAAAATCCACTAACGGACTTGAGCTGAGTTCCCCGAACTGCGGGTTTTACAAAGTGAAAGGTCAACAGGATTGAAGATGGAAAATAGGACCACCGAAATGGGACAGAACTTCTGTGCTGTGCTGTCCGTCTTCTGTCACAGAAGACGGACAGCACAGCACACAATTCATTTGCACCTTAGTGCTTCTGATAAAAAAATATGTAACACTCTCAGATGTTCGGCAACTCATTATTACCGTTTTCAGATTTTTTAACGAATAATCGCAATAATTACTGTAGAAACAATTCCGGAACAGCCAAAACAATGCCGGAACAGCGTTTCATGCGTTCAATTACCACAAACACGGGTAGGTATTCGCTAGTCTCGAGTCATCGACCTTTCATAACGAATACTAACCGATGTGTCAAGTATCCTCCTCACCCGTCGCGGTGCTCCAGGATGTCGTTTGTCGAGGCCGGCAGCCCCGCCGCTCCCAGAGGACCCCGGCCGACTGCCGTTTCAATTAAACCACATGTAATTCACGGTTGTGCCAGAGACGCCGTTCGGCTGTCGCCATTGTCGCCATTGACGGTCCCTGACCAGACGTCAGGACCGTCGGCTCACAAGGACAGAGATTTGTTAACCGGAACGCACAGCTTTCGTGGGGTGACAGCATAGTTACCAACATCGACACGGAGGGTGATTGTGAAAGAGTAGGGCGGATGTGTCTGAGGTTACAGGGTTAACTGAATGATTACGTTCTTGGCGGATTGATTTGTAGACGTTGAAGGTGAGTCAGACTATGACTAGAATAGCTAACAATTTAACTTTATTCTCCGCTTTATAATGGTGGACGTTGGCAAAGATTTAACGCCCAAACTCAAGAGAGTATACAATTTACGCTACATACCTATTACCTACTGACGAAAAAGAGACTATAAAGTATAATTTATACAAACATACAGAAAGCGACCACTTTTGACTTTAATAGGTCGTCGGAAAGCGTATATGTCTGTGAATTAACGGCAAGGTTATCGAACTGCCTATCTTTCCCTGATTGTTGCGTGCTCTATTATATAGGTAAACAATGAGTCAAGCCGATTTTACTATAACTATGCGATTAACGATTGTATCCCTCCGTTATAGCATTATGTCAGTTCCCACTTACATATGAAGTAAAATCATCTAGCCTCCCTCCGCGTTCGCATTGCGGCGTGGAAAACTTTACTGTTTTAATGACAGTAGTTTCCGTATATACCACCATTACGCAAAAACAACCACTGCATTCGCGCTGGTCTTATTGACAGTTGAGGCGGTGTGACAACAGGCCGGTACAGCACTGACAAGACGACCACCCCCAGGTACCGCCTCAGCCCGCAATGCCGACGGTACCTAAGGGGGCCGACCCACCCAGCGGCACAACAGAGTTGCTCTCTCGTCCTCTTCCACAAGGAACAGAGGTGGCTTACACGAGCAGGCAGAGTGTCCCGGCGGCAAAGTACAGGATGTGCGACATTACAGCGCGCGCTAACGGAAACAGGTATGCATAGTGTTCCTCTTCGTGGCTGGTGTGACAGAAAAAAATGATTTACATTGGTACATAGCCCGAGACAGACAGCCGAGAGGTCTACACGGATAACGTCTGACATGGTTGTAGATAAAGCGGACTCCAGTGAGCTCAGTAACCAGTGTGAAGCGCTGCGAAGCGGTGGAGAGAAGCGGACAACAGTGTTCGTTTCTCGCTTCACAACCAGTTTCGTCGGGCCGCGGCGTGGCTCACAGCTCGCCAGCTCTCATCGCCCGTCCTACCGGTGATATCCGCGCGGCGTCCCGCCCGCCGCCCCTCCCAACACACACTGAGCCGTGCGCGCTCACATCATCACCGTCAGTGTGAAAACACGTCACCACATCACAAACCACGTCACACCAGCTGGTGCAGCACACTCTGACGCGCGCCCGAACCGCGCGCACGTCACCAAACAGAACATCGCAACGCAGATGTATACGCAAACAACCGAGCGCGACGCGGCACGCACGCGCGGACGTCTGTAACAAAATGGCGAAGCAGCGGCCGGTCCGCCGGCGCTGGGTCGCACCGAGAACTGAAGAATCTGGAGGCTTTCGGCACACATACCATTGCAATAGCTTTATTCTCCACCCTACAAAAAATAAAGCCACGGAATAGGTGGGTGCCGCCGGCGGAGACCTGCAGCAGGGCACCAGAAGCGGAACGGAGACGACCGGCGATGGTGCCTCCCCCTCTCGGGAGTGGACTCGTCTGTGCTCAGCAGCTGCACCAGCCCTCCTCCTCCTGTTTGGGCTCGCCCGTCGGCTGCGGACTGAGCTCCACTCCTGGCGCGGAACTCGAGTTAAGGAGTCGTAACCAGTCGGTAGACACAGCGTGTCGCGTAACCGCGTTTCAACGAAAACGTTTTAAAATAATATTTACCTATCAGAACCTAAATTTGTTATATACCTGGCCCTTAGCTTTGAACGTTAACCTACTAGATTTCCTTTATGGTCTAAAACGATAAGAAAAGCTTCTCGATGCCCACAGGCAAGCCAGCATATAAAATGAAAAGAAAAACGCAAGCAAAATCTTGAAGGATTTAGAAAATGTAGCATGCTGACATTAATGAAAGTTAAAAAAGACGTAAACGCTATGTGCGGATGTGCGGCGTGCTTTTCGCACATTCTCCGCCCGGGCGTTGCCTATCAATTTCCTTGTATCGTTCATAGATGGCACTAGTGTGTGCGCCTGAACTGTATGCTGTACCGCAGGGCTCGCATATTCCAACCGGACCGCTTCGCATGCTTGACGCTGCACTATGGTTGGAAACGGCCTCACGGATGGCCATGGGCAATTTCGGAATATTTGTATATTTGGGGTGTCATTCTGTTGGAAATTGATGAAATGTTTTGAATTGGGCAGAAAAAATATTTAGTTGCGCATTCAGTCTTCATTATCGTACGTGGAATCGGGAGTTTCTGATAGTGGCTTTTTTGGTGCGCCGTCAAAGGTTTAAACAACCGCGCTGATGATAGCGTGTGGCGTACCTCAATGACGTTGTAAGACGGGATTTCCATACATCAAAATAATCCTTGTTATGTTGGCTATCGAGTGGAGTGACTCTTTTTCCCATGCGTGTTCAAAATCAGGAACGGCATTCCATTCTGTTTGCAGTGTCACCACAGCAACATTTGCAAAATTACGTTTATGTTTCATTGGACATACAAAAAGTTCTCCATCGACCTCCATTGAGCTTTTTGGCAGAATAAATCTCTGTTCAATTCTGCGTAAGGGGAACCTAAAATCAAACTGCGCACTTGTGCGCAAAATCGTCCGTGAAGCTTCATCTCCCGAGGCGTACCTACCCGTCGCATCGTTAGCACCAGGTCGGCTCGTCAGTCGTGCAATCGCTTATCCTAATAAATGATGGTAAGAAGCAGGGTTGCGGAGTCGTGGTGGCGCCAAATCCGACTCCGACTACGACTCCGACTCCTGACTCGTTGCCATGACTCCGGGCGACTCTGTCTCCGACTCCGGACCCCTGCCAGTGTTTCGGAGTCGTGATGGAGCTGTTCCGATTCGGACCGACTCCGACTTCCACCGCGGGCTCCTGACCGACCCCGACTCCGACCCCGACTCCGACTCCGACTCCTGGCTCGTTGCCACGACTCTGGGTGACTCTGACTCCGACTCTGACTCCGACTCCGACTCTGACTCCGACTCTGACTTCGACTCCGCACCCCTCGTAAGAAGTAACTGCTCGCCGCTGCACCTGGAGTATGGATATCGTGCAGACGTGTATGGATATCCTGGAGTATGGATATGGATATCCACTGACAGAACAGACATACAGACGTGCCGTAAACGCCATTACACTGCCAATACCATGGCAAATCAAATGGCTATCTATGTTTTTTATCATCGTTCTACATTTTCCAAAATCTTGAACTGAATGTTGGCAAGTTCTCGTGACTACTTCACGACCATGATGCATGCATTTCTGAAATTGATCTTTTTTTTCAGCCAACCACGTACTCGTATGATAAAATGAATGTCACCATCGTGTTCTACGCCCAAAAGTACCCATAAAACATGTGTCATGGGCTGCGAATAGGTACCAGTTTTAATTTTCGGGGTTATGTGCTTACCTGATTGACCTGACTTTGAACCTGGCCTATGTTTGACTGACCCCTACATGGATCTGACACTCTTTTAGCACTTATATGAAGGGTTGTGACAGTTGTGACAGAGTCAGAGTTTATGACGAGAGGCACCGATTGCGAGATTCTAAAATCCATGCTACTGAAAGCCCGATTTCAAGTGTTTGACCTGACCTTGACCCGACCTGTGACCTCGAAATTCAACTTTTAAGTATTCATGTGAATCGTCTCGTCGCGTTCTTCTTTCGTTTGCCGCCTCGTGCGTTTCGCTGCGCCTATTTGTTCGCGAGTTATCGGCTGGGGGCGTTAAACGCCCCCTCCCCTCCCCGGCAAACGGCGGGTGGGGAAATACCCCAGCAACTGCCGGGTTAATCTGACGCATTTTTTGCCATTTGATCGTCATTTTATTTCTTACTTTTTTGCCTAATCTAAAAAAAAATCATTCATACTTTTTCTCCGAATTTTTGAACCTTTATGACCAATAGTAAGACACTGTGCGTCACTACGTTGATATTTCTCGCCCTAAAGCATAACAGCAATATCCATTCAGTAAAAACAGTATTAAAAACATGTTCAAAATGCCTCGCGATATCGATAACATTACGAAAGACATAGGCGACTTATAACATACTTGCAATGATGACGTCACACACGCGTGACGTGACGTGACCTCGTCATTTCTGAGTTACTGTATGATGCACGAAAGACACTGGTATAACTATGCAAAGTTTCATCGCAGTCTGTCTACGCATTAACAAGTTATGGGCAAAACATTTTTTCGCGTTGACCCCCGGCCATCCGTGAGGCCGTTTCCAACCATAGTGCGCTGTGCCGGCACACACGATTAGTTTGGTACTGGATGTGCGTATCAGTGTTCAGGCTTGCCCTAAATGCATTCGATAGCTTCTGTAAGAACCAGCAGACATTTTCGAATTTCATTACCATGCAGAGGAAAACGATTTACATTCGCCCTTAGCAGTCCAAACTGAGCTGCATGAAACACAGCATTTACCGGCGCCCGGTTGGTTTCTATCGGCACCTTCAGGAATTTTTCATTGAAGCGATTTGCGAGGTTCAGCATAGGCGGCGGAACGGGGAGGGCACTGGGGCACCGTGTCCCCCTTTGATTTTGACACTTTAACATTAGCCCTATGGGCGTTGCATGGAAAGAATGGGACCAAAAGTCGGCAGTGCCCCCCCCCCCCCCCAATAATTGAAGGTGTTCCGCCGCTACTGAGGTTCAGTGCCCATGACAGAATACTTACCCTATTACCTGGCCTTCTGTAGGTACCTAATGACACGTTTCTTTGGTGCTTGATAAGAAAGATGTATGATTAGTTGTTACTCTACTGCCTTTATTCGTCATTCGCGTTAATGTGCTTGTAACCAGACTTATTTGAACAGCGTCCCTCTATAGCCAACTGCCCATGCAAAACCTGTAATAGCTTTTGAGCAAAGAATACGGTTTACGACAGCCCCAATGGAAATAACCTAGCGCCCCCAACTAAGGCTTTTGTCAGTCACCAGTTCAGGAGCATATGTATTTTGGATTTCGCTCGAATACGGCGTGTATGTGTTTGCCGACAGGTTGCCACTACGCCTGAAAGGCGACGTACAACGTTGAAAAGGCGATGATGTCAACAGGACGAGCGCCCCGACCATCACCGTGCCTACGGCATTGACACGAGGTGAGGGCCAATAGACCACCACCTTTGAATGGTCGCCGAATATCAGCTGCCCTGCGTGGGCGGCGAACCTCAGGGACCAACAGAACGGTGTCGCCATCGTCGGTATAACCGCGACCATAAATAACGATCAGCTCAACACGTTTACAAAGGCCAACCAATACCATTAACTGACAATATGTAGCAAAAAATGTGTTCAATTTTCGTGTTCGCGTCCGATTTCTTTTTTCTCATCGCTATTGTTCAGTCATGCCGTTTCAGACTTCGACCCACTATTAGGTAAGCGCATTTCGCGACAAAAGATCTCATGAGGTCGTTTTTGAATGCCAATTCAGCTTTAGAACACATTCACAGGCCTGAAGACACGTAAATCATTGTGGACTTTGGGATTGTTCACACCGTCAAAACATTTTTCCGTGACAAATTTGATGCCATGGGCTGAACGTCGGTAGTTAAATGGGGAATGAAGGCCAATCAAACAAAACCTTTTAGCTGCCTTTTAACTGAGTAAACCACCAAAATTGTACTGAACATCGTAACCATCACATATTTTTATGGCTACGATATTTACTATTTTCTGACAAAATACAGCGTTTAACCCGCGCCCTGCTGGGGGGGGGGGTGTTTGAACACCCCCCCCCCTAAGGTTTTTCGCGAATATCTCAAAAACGGCGGCGCGGAGCGCCGCCGTTTTTGGTATACCTTATCATACATCAATTCTACACATGTTGTAAAAATTTCAGACCAAGGTCATTCAAGGTCAGGTCACCAGGTCACTTGAAGTGACCTCACCTCATAAAAAGTTTCAATGTCTGTCATAGCTACACCGAGTGACCGATTGCTTTGAAACTTTCAGCGATTGCTAAGAGCAATAGCATGTACAAAATGTATATCTCAGAATTTTGATATCGATGACCTAAGGTCAGGTCAATTTTGCGACCTCCCCATTATAAGTCAATGGGAGAAAATTCAAATGCGCCTCTTTTGGACGAAAGACATTATAAACACTCCCAAACACTGAATTACAAGTGGTTTAGACACACTGAGCATGAAAATGGTGTCCGTGACCCCTGTTTATGCCCTGAGGTCATCTCAGGTCACGAATAGTATCTAACAGTTTTTCGCAAATAACTTTTGATAGAGGCATGCTAGAGCGATGAAAACGCCTTAGATGTGTTCAGCTCGACGATACGGATCGACTGATATGCAACATGACCCTTTCCGGTCAGGTCATGACCTTGACCTGAGGTCAAATTTTCAAGTTGACCTTTCAAGGTCAAGTTATAGTTCATTCGATGCGTCTTGACGAGAGGAACACGATGCCGGTAAAAGTAAGCTCGTACAAGGCTTGAGTCAAAAGTTATTGCAGAAAAACTGTTTCCGAAAAAATCGGCTATTTTTGCAGTTTTTGCCCCCTGCAGGCAAAACCGTTGACGTTAGGTCAAATCTGAGAAAATTACTCAGAAAGGACGTTAATAGCAGGGGGATGTCGTCTCG